GCGCGCTCTCAGCCTAACGCGCGCGGCGCAGTGAGCCAGCTCGGCGGGGCGGTCCGCAAACGTGCCGCCGGCGTTCCAGAAGCGCGCGTGGGCCGGCAGCTTGGCTTTCAGCATCCAATCGCCGCCGCGCGATTGCCTCACAGAGGGCAGCAGCCGCTGGCGCACGGCCTCGGGCGTGAGCTTTGCGTCGAAGACGCGCTCGGATGCGGCCGCCAGCTGCTCGACCAGATCGGTCTCGGCCCGCTCCCAGAAGAGCCTCGAGCGCTCGTCGGTTGCGAAGCTCACGCTGGGGCGCTGCCCCTCGGAGAACGATTAAAAAAAGATTGGTCCGAGCATGCGAAACTGCTTGAGCCGCGCCCTTGCCTGTGCGTGCTTTGTTGTGCTGGTGGTTTTTGTTAAACATGCCGAGACTGCTGGAGCTGTTTTGCGGCACAAAGTCGATTGGCCGAGCCTTCGAGGCGGCTGGGTGGGAGGTCGTCTCCCTGGACATCGTGTCGAAATTTGAGCCCACGATCCTGTGCGACATCCGGAGCTGGGACTACGCGCTGTTTCCGACGGGGCACTTTGACATGGTCTGGGCCAGCCCGGTCTGCACGGAGTACAGCCGAGCTCTGACGATGCGCCCTCGACGACTCGAGGAGGGCGACGCGCTGGTGCTCAGAGCCCTTGAGATCATGGCGCACTTTGACCCGCTCATGTGGGGTCATAGAGAATCCGGCCACCGGGCTGCTGAAGACCCGCCCGTTCATGGCGCCTACCCTGGGTGGACGTTACCTACTGCAAGTACGGGACTCCGTACAGGAAGCAGACCCGACTGTGGACCAACATGCGCTGGAGAGCGAGCCGAGGGCTGTGCAGGAGCGGCAGCCGGCGCGACGCGTGGGAGGACGGGAGGCATCTGAGGGGCGCTCAAGGGGGGCCTCGACTCAGCGCGAGAGGGTCAGGGGGCAGTCGCGCGAGCTGCTTGACAGCATTCCTACGGCGCTGTGCGAGGAGATTGCGAGCGTGGCCACGGCAGAGCTTGCGGATCGGCTGAGCATCCCGGACTGAAGCGAGGGGCATTTCTTATAAGATGTTTTAATGACCCTAACGAGCTCATTTTTTTCTTAGCAGGCATGCGCTCCGACGGCGGCCAATAAGCCGCCCCACGTGGCATAGCGCCACTGCCCGAAGACTGCGCCTCCACACTTTGGGCAGGACTTGCAGCTGACGCGGCACCCATCTATCTCCCGCGTCACTCTCAGCAGGAGCGGGTTGCCCCACAGCTGCAGCTCCTCCAAAGTGCGCGCGGCATCTTTGATCAGCAGTTGCGCGGCGTGCAGGCAGCGCATCAGCGGCTCGCTGCAGGGCTTCTCAGCGCAATCCAGCACCTGCGCAGCCGCGGCCAGGGTCAGCTCCAGGAAATCGCCCTTGCTGTCGGCGTTGCCCAAGCGAGGGCTCGGGAGCCAGCCAGTCGAACGTCTGCGACCCAAGATCGTCTCCAGGATCTCTGGTCATCACGCGGCACCCGTCCTTCGTGAGGTAGGACTCCAAAGCGCCGTTAGGGGCAGGGGAACCCGAAGTCAAGTCCGCTGACTCGGATGCCCCCCGTGTAGGACAGGCTCTTCCTGTCTCTGCGAGGATGCAGCAGCAGCGCCGAGAACAAGCCGCTCAGATCCAGCAGCTCGGAGCTCCAGCGCATCCGGAAGGGCGGCAGGCCACGCCCAGACCTGGTCAAGCCTATTGGCGACCTTGCCTCATTTGTTCAGAAATGGTCTAGAAACTGCGATAAGCAGCTACATAGGCTTGTCTGCTACATAAACAGCACGGTCAACAGCACGCTAGTAGGCACAGTTCGGGATTCGACTGACGAGTTGCATCTCTCTCTCTATGTGGACGCCGACTTCGCTGGAGAACGAGACGCAAAATCCACGTCCGGAGGATTCTTGATTTTGAGTGGTCCGCGCACGCATTTTCCCCTTGCGTGGGTGTCCAAAAGGCAGACATCGGTCTCCCGATCGACAACCGAGGCGGAGATTGTATCTCTCGCACACTCCCTTTATCAGGAGGCGCTCCCTGCGCTTAGCTTGTGGGAGCTGATCTTGGACCGACCATTCCATCTCAAGATCCACGAGGACAATCAGGCGACTATCCTCGTAGCGAGAAAAGGTTTCTCATCCAAGCTACGCTGTGTCCAGCGAACGCACAAGGTGAACCTCGCGTGCATCGCAGAGCAGCTTGAAAGCGAACACATCTCGATAGAATACGTCCAAACCGACATGCAGTCAGCGGACATCTTCACGAAAGCACTTCCACCCAACAAGTGGGACCATGCCATCCGGTTGCTCGGCATTCGTGTTGACCTTCCAGAAAAGCTTGAAGACGTTCGTGAAAGTAGAGCCGCTAAAGCAGCTGCCTAGTGCGCTGCAGCATGTCCGCAAAATTTCCAAAAGTGTGCAAAGTGCCTGGGTGATGCTTGAATAACTTGTGTCAGTCGTTGTGATGTAAACTTGACTTCAAGTTGGCGTGGTAATGCGCCCAAGACACTCCCTCAGTGCCGTCAATGAGGGGGGAGTCAATTATCACGATGACATTTATGGCCCAGAGGTACATGAGGTAGGTTCTCATGTAGTCAGTTGCATGTTGTACATTCAAGTCAATGCCAGAGCATGATCCAATCACTGCTTTGGCTCAAGTGCTGAAAACAGCGCGTTGCTCGCGCTAACCCCAAGGTTAAGGGAGAGGTCGCAGTCACGGAGGGGTTCGTTCCTTTTAAGGTCCCGGGTTCCCCCGTTGTTGACAAAACTGTGTTTCCCTCTCCTTTGAGTGTCTTTACGCTGAAGCTGCGGACCTGCGTGATCGCGAATGGCCGCGTGGAGCAAAGAGCCGGACTGCCCTGGCTGAAGTCCGGGTTGTGTTGTTTTGTGCGGTTTCCTGTTTCTCCTGTTTCTCCTGTTTCTCCTGTTTCTCCTGTTTCTCCCTTTTCCCGGGTTTCAGGGGGAAAGTGGCACCTATGGTTGCCACGCTATCCCCGGCGTCGTAGTCGAGTCCGCGTGGAGCAAAAACAAATAATTTCACCGGTTATACTTTCATAGCGCTCAGTTGATTGCGCTATTTGCGCAGCGGTTGCCGTCGCAGCTCAGTGTTGGACAGTCTTGCTTGCACGGCGATACTTGCGCAGCGACTGCAGCCTGGCTCACACAGCCAAGCTGACGCAGCGTGACTTACGCAGACGACACAGATTAGCTCTCGCAGCCAAAATTGCCTGGCTTACGCAGCTTGCCTTACGTAGCTCAGCCTACGCAGAGCATCGCAACCGCACTCAGGAGGCCTGTGCTGGTTGCTCAGAGCTCTAAAGTGGGGGGGTGGATCCTCAGGCTTCGCATGCGATTCAGATGCATAAGTCGAACAGAGAGTCGAGCAGAGAGCCTGCACCTCTGAGCAACACCAGACAAGCTGAACGTTCTCTTTTTCTTGCATGCATGTCTTAGGATTGAAGCAGTGAACAGGTGTTTAACGCTTGGGGTTGTTGTTTCCCTTGTGTTTTAAGCCTGTTTGAATCTTCGGCCGCGCCTATACAACATGCGGTGAAACCGGGCTGGTCCAACAGGGGTACCCTTTTTTGAAGCCCACCCACTCACCCATTTGGTCACTCAGGCTGAACCTAGAGTGATCAGCGCAGGGGTGCAGCCACCCCAGGTGCACACGCGCGCTTGCAGACCTGTCTCGACCCAGCGTGTCACGCCGAACACGCATGTTGGTCGTGAGCAATACCAGAAAATAAACAGCGTGCTTCTGCATCGGTCGCTTCTGCGTGTTGCATGCGTGTCTTAGGCTTGCAGCAGTGGACAGGTGTCTAACAATGGATCAACATCTTCCACCCCGAGCCTTGGGTTTAACAAGATCCTGACCTTGACCCTGAACCGGTACCTCAAAATGCATGGAGTGGTGAACCGATGACAACTTGGTTTGTATCATGTATGTAATTGGTTGGACCGGGTGAAGATCATGCGCACTATTGTCGCTGGCACCCTCGCCGCGCTCGCCGGTGACCGTGGCACTGACACCGTTGTGTCGGGGATCGTGGGTTTTTCTGAGATGATGAAGTCTGACCCACCACCATGATTGACCAGTGCTTCTTCGATCCAGTTCTAGCTGGGGCGTTGTCTTCTTTGGGCAGTACTCCTTGGCCCACTGAGCTTGGTCGACCAGATCTACGAGGTGCAATCGATCTCGCCCTCGTGGAGGTTTGTACTCAGGAGCGTGAAGCCGACCTTAAAAAGTGTGTGTGTGTGCGGAGCATCAGTTCAACCCTGCTATGTCCAGCAGGGGGATGGAACAGGCCTGCAGAGCTCCATCAAACCAAGCTCTCCGCAGTGACATGAGCATATCCCCAAGGACGTTTTGTGACGCGTGCTTCATGTTGGACCTTGTAACGCTCTTGAACCTAGAGGGAAGCCACAGTTCGGCGCTCGATTTCGTTGACTACACCAAGATTCGCTTGAAAGCGAGATCGTCTCTCCTTCTGGAGGCATGGGTGAACGGAAGGACCGTCTGGAGAAGTCTTGCGCGCCTATTTGATGGCTAACGAAAAGTAGGAAACAAAGGATGCAAATGGAGGGACCCCCCATGGCAAAACAGTGTGTTGGGAACTGGGAATCAACATGAAACCCATTCTTGGGGCGACCATTTCTGGTCTCCGTCCGCTTCCATTCGCACTCCTCGATTTCTCTGGCTGGAAAGAGGGGCACCTGGCCAAACGCGAAGCGGAACCAGCGAACCGTTTCCTGAGATAACTTCTTTGTGCTGGTTGAAATGAGGTGACCCCAAGGACAGGCTCTTCGATGAAACCGCCACCTGTGTTTTTTTGGAGCTGACCAAATATTATACAATTTTGTGTCCATCAGCCTCCAGGTTACCCAGAATACCCCTCAACGTTTGTTGTTGTTTTTCTTTTTTATCCCAGTGCACCCGAGCATTTGACGCCCGAACTGTTACGAGAAGCATCATTTGATGTTTCTGTTTGAACATGTTCGCTCGGAAAATGTTCTCCGATGGATTTCGATGATTTCCTCATCGAGTACGCCGCAGCCTCAAAAAAAACCATGTTCGGGCCGAGGGTTGCCTGGCTTTTCGCTTCCATTCTTGGGCGTTCAACCCCCCAGCGAGCCGAAACCCCCAGCAACCCCCAGCAAACTCAAAATGATGGACTCTTTTCCACATGCGAAAGGAACCTTTATGATTGGACACCTTGCAACCGTCGACAGTGGACCGGGGATGTTCTGTCAGATTTTGCATCGGCCGACTTGCAGCCCAACCAAACCAAGTTCGTTGTTCTCGCCCAACCGAAGCACCCATCACACCCTGAGAACGGACCTTAAAAGCAGTGCAAACAAATCAAAAGGGAAGGCCAAAGAAGAAGAGCCCTTGAAATCGACCTGACAAATCTGACTGATTTTGCATTGGGGTTTAGGGCCGGTAAGCTGAATGAGGAAACCAGCTGGGAGTGTCCATCCACTTGGGACATAGATGTGGCTCAAAGTTCACGCGGGATCTCAGTTTTGAGTTCGGAGTGTAGTCCATTGAGGCTTTCCCTTGGGACACATGTTGCGACCATTGCAACACGGGGTTGGGAGCAGGGGAACCAAAGCAAATTGCGGGTTTCTCTTTGGTTTCCCAGACAAAGAGCACCACTATGTGCGCGAACTCAAATGCACAGGCCCATTTTGCATTTTGGGTTGGTCAGGTCTTTGGTTTCCCTTTGGGCCTGTCGACTCCGATCCTAGACATGGCAACATTCGGGTGGCACCACGTCAAAAGCCAAATGTGCCTTGCCGGTGTGCAAAGTAGCTCTGGTCCCCCCAAATGATTATGAATGCCTGTACCCCCCCCTCACCCCCCCCCCCCCCCTAACTCCCTAGGACGGTTAGGAAGTGGATGTATCAGCATTTTTTCTAAGACTTCCTAAGCTGAACCTAAGAGACCCCTTGATTTTGATCGGAGATTCGGGCTGCGTTACTTTGCGGCGTCCCCCTAACCTAGGGAAATCATAAGAGATTCGAATTGCTCTTTCTGAAAGTGCTGCGTTCCCATGCTTCCCCAAGGTTTTCTAAGGCTTCCCTAGGGCTTCCCTAGGCTTCCCTAGAGCTTCTCTAAGGTTTCCAGCTGCCCTAACGCTTTTCTCAAGGCTTCCCTAGGCTTCCCTAAGGCAGCCTTAAGGCTTCCCTAAGGCTTCCCTAAGGCTTCCCTAAGGCTTGCCTAAGGCTTCCCGAAGGCTTCCCTAAGGCTTCCGGTTTCCCTTAGTATTTCTTGTCCAATCAGCTTTTAACGGTTCCCCAAGAGGCTCCCTAGTGTTCCCGCCATGCGCAGGGCGAGTGTCAGGCCAAGCTTCCCCAAGGCTTCTGCAAGGCTTCAGGCAAGGCTTCCTAAGCCTCTGCAAGAGAAGCCCTTTAAGCTAGGGCTAAAGGGGGCGGGGGTACGGGCTCCACAAAATGAGAAGCTCCACGGCCAACTCGAGGGCCTCGGGGCCTCAACTGGCCCAGGATCTCACGCCGGCGCAGCTGCAGCTGGCCAACCGCCTCAAGGCGGAGGCCAACCTCAGGCAGGGAACCGAACGCGTCGCGTGGCCGCAAAAGGAGAGGAGGCTCGGTGAAAGGCGCAGGAATTGGTGTGAAATCAGAAAGCTGCAGCCCTTGAAAAAATGGGGACTTGAAATATGGAACTGTCCTTTTTGGAGGTTTTGAAAAAAGGAACTGGGGTCCCAGGATTGAGACGCATTTGATCTAGTCCAGGGGTGACTTTGGGTCTCCCATAAAAAGGGGGGGGGGGAATCACGGCACATATTCCAGAAATGGTGCCGTTGCCGACGTGACGAATGAAGACTCAGGGGGATTGCCACAGGGCGAAACCTTGCTCAGCTTGGTCACTCAACCCTTGCAGGGACCAGAGTGGGGTTGGCAGTTCTACTTGGCATGGGTTTTTCAAGTTTGGAACGGGTATTCTGGATTGGTGGGATGGCAACATTCACGCCCATGTGGTTCTTTGCGCTGGTCGGCCTGCTGCTCCAAGAATGTGGATTTCGAGTTGCACTCTGAAGCCGGACTGGCAGTTAGAAACATGTTCAGGAGAATGGGTTTTCTCTGTTGTTTCCAAAAGACAAACGGTAGCCCCCTGGAGGCAGCTTCTAAATGTGCTGGGCGACCATGCGCTCTTCTTCAGCCGAAGGCCGAGGCGCGGGCCGCATCTGATCTCGCAGCTTGGAGTCTGTCTGACCCGAGGGTGTAGCTAGCCGATGCCTTCTGGGCTCAGACGTGGAGCTTTGGAGGGATTCAGGAGTCAAGCCAAAGCAGGTGCGAGCTGGGGTGATGCTCAGGTGAGCCTGCGTCTGGTGCATGGTGTCGAACGCATAGCGACCTGTCTCCGAAGGATATCCATGTGACTCAAGCGAGTGCCACCAAGCAGGAACCTGCAGCATCGATCACGGCCTTGGAGATCCCATGAAGGCGAGGTGCAGAGACTGATGAGAGGATGTTTGTTTGGCGGGCTTTGGTCAAGGGTGGCTTGCACCTGGTATTCCGTCCATGGCCTTGGGCTTCTTGAGTGACTCCCTGCAATTCGACCTTATGGCCGACGGAATTGCTCACGCCCCTTCACCGGAGTGGCCACCAGCGAAGCGGTTTGATTCTTTTTTTTAAAATCAACAGCTGAACGCTGAACTGGCGAGCCACAGGCAACCGCCATCGAGTGCTCAACCTGTGAAATCCACCTTGAAGTTGTAAAGTAGCCATGGCTTTTCTACCGGCCTGTCGTATGGCTTTGGGGGGGGCCTGTCCGCTGGGTCTTGTTGGGCGCGGGGCCCCGAAGAGAAGGACGGCACGGCCGCTCACCGGCTATCTCCGATATCTGGCCGGGTCACTTTGAGGAGCTGCGCAAGACGGGAATCCCGGCTTGAGCTACTTCTTTGGCGGAGCAAGCCTTGAAGTCATTGGTGCAGGCAACCCTTACAACGACCGGGAGAAATCCGTATCAGAGAGGCACAGCGCACTCCACCAAGAATTGTTCCCTGTACTTGGGTCAGCCAGGATGATGTGAGCTGTCTGGACTCTAAATACCTTTTGGGCACATGCTGATGCCAAGCCCGGGCCGAACGGGGCTGATTAGTCACACACTGTCCTACTCTCATACTTCAAGCGCCAGCACTACGGAGGCTACGCGCACGACTTTCATCTACCTGGAATTCGACTTTAGCGTTAACGGAACCGTTGAGCTTGGTGGCACACAGATCATCATGCCTACTACTACCCGGATATTCCCAAGGAGTCCCACTACAACAACACACAGACACGGTCATCCTTCTGCCAAGTTCTGATACGCACAAACACTTGGGCTGTTCTCTTTTTTGAAGTACTGGTTTCCGTCCATTGTTCGTTTGGCATGACATGTGCCAGTCAGCATGTGGAAGCAACCAGTCAGCATTTGTGTCAGGCCTTCCATTATTTCGGCAAGCGCTGAATCTGATTGCCCTGAATTGGTTGTTTGGATTGGTTGGGGATTTGAGCTTCTTGTGGAGGATAAGTGGAACATCGCCTCAAACCGGGCTCCAAGCCAAGAGATGACCAAATGGAGCATGGGTTGAGCCACAGGCCTCCGGTGGACAACGCCAAGCGCCGGGAGGCGAGTTCGGGCTGGGAGATTCCCGGAGTCGAAAGGATCGGTTCGTTCCCCCCACTCCCCCCCCCGCCCGCCCACGAGGTGCGAGTGGAAAACCTGTGATGCTTGGCTTGTCGTTGGCTGAGTTTTGCATCCGCTGACACAAGGACTTAGCAAGCAATCAACCAACCAACCAAGCAACCAACCAGCTCAACCAACCAACCAACCAACCAACCCACCCACCCACCCACCCACCCACCCACCAACCAACCAACCAACCAACCAACCAACCAGCTCAACTAGCTAGCCATCCACCCAGCCAGCCAGCCAGCCAGCCAGCAAGGTAGCCAGCCCCAACCAACCTGACTAATCCAACCCAACCAACCCAACCAACCCAACCAACCCAACCAACCCAACCAACCCAACCAACCCAACCAACCCAACCAACCTAACACACCAACCAACACACCAACCAACACACCCAACCAACCACCCCAACCATCCCAACCAACCAACGATCCTCCATCTCATCCCAACCAAACCCAACCCAACCGCAACCCAGCCCAGCCCAGCCCAGCCCATCCCACCAACCAGCCAACCAACCAACCAGATGATCGCAACATATGTCTCCGCTTCAGTTTGTGGGGACATGAGCTTTTTCTCTGAAAAGCAGCTGGACTCTTCAATCAGAATCCAGGATTAGTAAACCCCTGATGGGTTACCCCAAGAATGCCCCTTCCAAAACCAGCCTTGAAGACCCACTTAAAATAAGGGTTTATATGGCCCTGGCAGGTTTGAGGGTAGTGAAAACCATCTTCGCCTCAGGTGATTGCCTGGTTTTCCTCGCTTTCTGCTCGGGAGCCAAGAACGGGGCCTTTTGGCTGCCACCTTCTGCAAGGATCCTCCGGCTTGTGAGGCCACTGTATTGGCAGAAGCACAAGTCAGCGGGTTTTGGGTCCGAAAGTTTCCTGGGATTGAAGATTGAGGTTGAACCCTGTCCATACGGTTCACAGGGCTAGACTGTTTTAGCTGCAAACAGCCATCAACTGAAACAAGCCAAGGTCCTCGTTCAAAGCATTTGATCTAGTGCCATGCTTGCCGGATGAACGTGAGTAGTTTGTGCATTTGCCAAGTTGAATATTATATATATATATATATACACATGTATCTGTATATTTGTTTCTAACCTCCGTAGGGCGCAATCCATCATTGCTCCTGGCAGTAGATAGATAGGTGCAAATGGATTCTGCAATATGGAGTGATGCACGGCCAGTCTTTGGTGAAAGGCATCTATGTATATATATACACACATAGATATATGTATATATAAACATATGTATATATATATATATAGTATATTTTTTCTTTCTGCCTTTGGCACTTTGTCAACCTGCCCACAAGTACTGTACTTTCCGCATCTCCACCAGCCTCATTGGCTTCTGAAAATGACCAGTCCTTGCAGCTTGAGCTCGCGGAACATGTGGCGCGGAGCGGCCGACCTCGAAGGGCCCAAGTTTGTTCGACACGTTACGGCTGGATCAATACATCGACAGAAATTGTAGACCGAGACAGACAGAATGCCAGGTTTGGCGGATCGAGTCAAACCTGGCAGCCATGTTGTACGGGTGAAATACCGTGGGGCGCGACCATTTGCGGGAGTTCCTAAGGACTTTCAGCGGACATGGACTACTAGCCTTTGGTCGGGTGCTTGAAGCCTTTGAACACTAACTCTTTGTTAGGTATGATATACAAGCATACCCATGCATGTGTGTACAAACACACGCCGTAATCTTCACACACACATGAGCGTACACACTAGGTATAGATCTCTCTCCCTCTCTTGTTTCTCTTCTCTCTCAATGTTACTTTATTTATATATACACATATGTTTATACACATGTATGCATACATATATATATATATGTTGAGATATGCATAATACAACTATATATATATATATATGTAGATATGTATGTATATATATATATATACACATGCATGCACGATCCCTCATATTTCAGTCACACTTGCGAGGTGGAGGAGCGCATGGCGACCCTCACCTGCCATGACGAGGGCCTGGGACTTGAAGCGCGCCATCGGCGGAATCGAAGCCGAAAGGCGAGGGACCTGCAGCACTGCAGGGCGGTCCCCGTGGTTTTTTGGGGCTACGAGTCATGGGGCGGTCCCCCGTTTTTTGGGGCGGTCCCCCGTTTTTTCGTTTTTGGGGGTATGAATCAGTTTTTTTTTTCCCCCAAGGGTTTTTGAAAGCATTCCATGGTGCAGTCCGAAGAATGGCCGTCAGTTTGCTTATTTTGCTTTACCAACATGGTGAATTAGTATACCGCAGTTGACATAGTTTTCCCCTCACTTGTAGTCAAGGAGCGTACATCATTGACTCTTCCAGAGGCATCCTGCGCAGCTCGATGCATTTGGCTTCGGGATATTCCATCGAAGCGTTTTCCCAATGAAGGCTCTTGAGCAGGACTTGGCTCTCCAAGTCTTGGAAGAGCGCCCAGAGCCAGAGGTAGAGGTGTTGGATCTGGAGGAGCCAGACAGGGTTCGGATGAGCTGGTACTCAGAACCCACACCTTTGCTCCTTTGAACGAAATTTTCATGTCTGGACATGGGTGTGAATTTCAATGGGAGACCCTCTGGTGGACATTACCGGGTAGGGGTTCATGTCTACCAATCACTTGTGGGGTGCTTCCTTGACAACAACAACCTTGGTGTTCAAGCCAGCCCAGAAAGGGGGCTAACAATGCAATATCCAGGGGGACACCGAAATCGGTAAGCGAAGGGGTCTCAACGACTCGCAATGCTTTCCAAAGGCTTCCTCTTCTGAAGCTCAAAGAATTGACTGGGATTTGTGAAAGCAGGGTTTCGGCAAGGAAAGCACTGCAATCTAAGGTGCAACTAGAACCTTGCGATTTCGATGTGAAGATTCCTGCCAGTGCGCAGAGACTGGAAGCCTTTGTTTTCTCTACGTGGCCGAAGGAGGGTTTGGCCCAACCCGGTTCCCCAGACCTTTCGAGTTCTGACTGAGGCTGGGTGCAGGCAGCGCTGAAGATGAGCCGCCAAGGTGCGCGGATGGGAGGCACATGGCGCTTGGTGAGGGACATCCAGATGCTTGGTGGACCGCCCAAAATCATGTCCGCTAAAAGGGTCACGTCAAGATTCGCACCCGCATGTTCCTGGGCTGAGGTTTGTTGGGTTTCTTTGGCGCTGGGAAAGGGGGTTCCTTGTTCCTTGGGAGTGGTGGGCATGGCGACCTTGAAGTCCAAAGTGTTATGGGCAAAGTTTTGTTTGAAGGAGGAATCTCGTGGTTTGAGAGACTAGGTCTCTCACGTGTCAGCGCCGTTCAACATGTTTTCTTAGACGGGAGCCCATCTTTCGATGCACCGAGATGGGCGCTGTACACGCTTGTGCAGTTTTCTCCATGCCAGGTTTCACATGTCTCTCACCAATAGCTGTGATGAGGCACACACACACACACCCACACACACACACACACTTACTTTTGGCATTGATTGTTTTGCTTTGCTTGGCAAAGGAATCCCTAATCGCCATTTGAGCAGACGATTCTGCTGCCTGGTTTCATGCTTTGTAACAATATTGGTCAAAGCGGCAGGTATTGGGCGCCGCTCAAATCTTGTGGTTTTAACATTCAATTTTGGTCCGGGATGATGAGCTCAACATCCACCGCTTTGAGGTGGGAAGGGCTGCGCCTACGGGACGGATCTGGGCAGACCTTCCCAGAGAGTTGCGCGGTACAAAACAACTGAGACACATTGTGACAAGCGACGAAGGAGCCCTAAGTGACACTCCCTCAATCTAACATGGAAGCTCCCGGAATCCGTGAAGGGAACCAAGCTCTTCCATTTCGGGGTGGGAGCTTCCATTAACAGTCACCGGGTAAGTGACACGACTCCGAAGCCGTCCGTCCAAAATTTGGCAGGCAACTCCAGTCCGCAATGTGCCGGGGGCCACTTCAAGGCGGGAGCGAGTCAGGTATTGGCGAGGCGAAGAAGCGAAGGTGTCGGTTGGTTGGAGGGAACCCATTGAGTTTGGAAAGGTTTACTGGGGAAACTGGGCTTCTTGGGCCACCCTGGAAGATTGATTTCCTCAAGCTTCCGTTTGGGTGACGCGCAGAATATGTTTTACACCGGTGGATTGAGCCCTGCAATTGGGGGTCCCCTTTCTCAAGCACGATAGGTCGCCTTCTGGACTTCCTGCCGTCCGCGTCGTCTCACACACGACATACGTTGCTCTGCTTGTCGCTGTTGAACTTCTTGCTTGTTCTCAGCAGGGAATGAAGGAATGCAGCAACCAATCAAACCGATGTTGTTCTGCTTGTTTTCAGCAGAGAATGATGGAGTGAACCAGCCAATCAAACCTATGTTGTTCTGCTTGTACTCAGCAGGAAATGAAGGAATGCAGCTACGTTGTTTTGCTTGTTCTCAGCAGGGAATGAAGGAATGCAGCAACCAATCAAACCTATGTTGTTCTGCTTGTTTTCAGCAGAGAATGATGGAGTGAACGAGCCAATCAAACCTATGTTGTTCTGCTTGTTCTCAGCAGGAAGTGAACGGATGCAGCAACCAATCAAACGAACGTTGTTTTGCTTGTTTTCAGCAGGGAAGGAAGGAGTGAACCAGCCAATCAAACCTATGTTGTTCTGCTTGTTCTCAGCAGGGAATGAAGGAATGCAGCAACCAATCAAACGTACGTTGTTTTGCTTGTTCTCAGCAGGGAATGAAGGAGTGAACCAGCGAATCAAACCTATGTTGTTCTGCTTGTTTTCAGCAGGGAATGAAGGAATGCAGCAACCAATCAAACGTACGTTGTTTTGCTTGTTTTCAGCAGGGAATGAAGGAGTGAACCAGCGAATCAAACCTATGTTGTTCTGCTTGTTCTCCGCAGGGAATGAAGGAATGCAGCAACCAATCAAACGTACGTTGTTTTGCTTGTTTTCAGCAGGGAAGGAAGGAGTGAACCAGCCAATCAAACCTATGTTGTTCTGCTTGTTCTCAGCAGGGAATGAAGGAATGCAGCAACCAATCAAACGTACGTTGTTTTGCTTGTTCTCAGCAGGGAATGAAGGAGTGAACCAGCCAATCAAACCTATGTTGTTCTGCTTGTTCTCAGCAGGGAATGAAGGAATGCAGCAACCAATCAAACGTACGTTGTTTTGCTTGTTTTCAGCAGGGAATGAAGGAGTGAACCAGCGAATCAAACCTATGTTGTTCTGCTTGTTCTCCGCAGGGAATGAAGGAATGCAGCAACCAATCAAACGTACGTTGTTTTGCTTGTTTTCAGCAGGGAAGGAAGGAGTGAACCAGCGAATCAAACCTATGTTGTTCTGCTTGTTTTCAGCAGGGAATGAAGGAATGCAGCAACCAATCAAACGTACGTTGTTTTGCTTGTTCTCAGCAGGGAATGAAGGAGTGAACCAGCCAATCAAACCTATGTTGTTCTGCTTGTTCTCAGCAGGGAATGAAGGAATGCAGCAACCAATCAAACGTACGTTGTTTTGCTTGTTTTCAGCAGGGAATGAAGGAGTGAACCAGCGAATCAAAATCAAACCTATGTTGTTCTGCTTGTTTTCAGCAGGGAATGAAGGAATGCAGCAACCAATCAAACGTACGTTGTTTTGCTTGTTTTCAGCAGGGAATGAAGGAGTGAACCAGCGAATCAAACCTATGTTGTTCTGCTTGTTCTCCGCAGGGAATGAAGGAATGCAGCAACCAATCAAACGTACGTTGTTCTGCCTGTTTTTGAGCAGGGAAGGAAGGAGTGAACCAGCGAATCAAACCTATGTTGTTCTGCTTGTTCTCCGCAGGGAATGAAGGAATGCAGCAACCAATCAAACGTACGTTGTTTTGCTTGTTCTCAGCAGGGAATGAAGGAGTGAACCAGCCAATCAAACCTATGTTGTTCTGCTTGTTCTCAGCAGGGAATGAAGGAATGCAGCAACCAATGAAACGTACGTTGTTTTGCTTGTTTTCAGCAGGGAATGAAGGAGTGAACCAGCGAATCAAACCTATGTTGTTCTGCTTGTTCTCCGCAGGGAATGAAGGAATGCAGCAACCAATCAAACGTACGTTGTTCTGCCTGTTTTCAGCAGGGAATGAAGGAGTGAACGAGCGAATCAAACCTAGGGTCTTCCAAGCAAGCCTAGGGTCTTCCCGGTGGAAGGTCATTTCGGGGTTGTGCACAATCTCCAGCAACCAGTAGTGGTTGACAGTTGAATTGACATTGGGACCAACAGTGGTTGCTGACATGTCAATCCGTTGAATCTCAATCCGTTGAATCTCCACCAATGTAAGTAGAAAAAGACACCCTTTTTCCATTTAATCCGTTGAATCTCCATGTGAATTGAAAAAACCCTTTTTCCAGGTTGCTACTGACATGTCAATCCGTTGAATCTCCACCAATTCATTTTTGTAAAAGAGAAACAAACACAGAAAAAAGCACAGTTTTTCCCATTCGTGGTGCGTTTTTTCTACTGGCATTCGCAACCAATTGGAATACAGTCCCCTTGGCCCGAAGGTGAGCCTGAAGCCCGCGAGCTCGAGTCCGGACCTCGCTTCAGTCAGGTTCTTTGTGTCGCTTAATAGGGATGACCCACAAAGAACCTGACAAACACACCCCACAAAAAAAAACGTGGCAAACACCATGACCCTACTAAGAGCTCAGTTTTTTTTGTTTTTAAATATCTTCCAGCGAAACGTGCTGGTGCGATATGCAGGGAATGTGGGAATGAAAGGTTTCGGGGTCCCTTAAAGGAACCGCCAGTTGGATGGTTCATACGGGTCATTCCCTCATTCACTGCTGAGGACCAGCAAGTGAAACCAACCTGCAAAAGGAGGTTGCCTTCAGCACACAGACACACACCTGCATCGGATTTTGCATCAGTCGAGGTCGGGCCACCCGTCGGCAGGCAAGGAGGGGGGCTTCGCATCTGGGTGATGGAAATAGCATGAACCTCAGCTCAATTTGCTGGTTGATTTCAAGGTCAAGGCGGTTTTCGGGTATGGGTTTTGGAGGTATGCGCAAAAAGCACTGCCGTACCTTCTCGTACCTACCTTCAAAACCCATGCTTGAGTGTCCCTAGGGTGCCTTTCAGTGGGAATCCTTCATGTGGTGACACCCCGTTTACCGGTAGGAGGAGTTTACCGGTGCGGCGTTCACAATACCCATCAACCAAAGTCCCTCAATTGCGTTCCAACTGCGGCGACGGCTTGCTCAAGAATTCCAACCAGGCTGTGTTTTTGTGGCCAGCACCCTTTTTGTTCGGGGCTCGCACCCCCCCCCCCGAATCTCAGCTCTAAAGCGGGCTGCGCTCATCAACATCAGGCAGGGGTTCTGCTGCATTGTCAACCCGTCAAATGTTTTACCACCAGACCCCTGGACCATACCCCCGGCAAGCCATACCTGCAGGAAACCAGACCTGGGTTCCTATGAGAAAAACTCTGCGGCGCTTTCCGCTCGAGAATCGGTGAGGCGAGGGAGGTGAAGGTGCAGTACCGGCGGCCACACAGGCAGATCCGGAAGTTTTTGCGACACCCGGGGTCTGTTTCTCGATGACTCACTCAAGTTCCGGACACTTAGATACTTTTTGGGAATTTGATTTTATAGGCAAACCCAAAGTAAGGACTGTTCAGGCCAATCCACTCAAGTGAGATTCCGACTTTGCGGGCTTTTCTCATCTACCGTCCCGGTGCCAGATCGGGGTTTCCTTTAGTGTCCCGCGGTATGATTGGCCGAGCGGTTATGAGTCCCTTCAATACTCCCCCAGAAAGGTTCAGGATCAGAACCCCGTGTAAGGCTGCTGAACCTTCCTGGGGAGTTGGGGGAGTTGGGGGGGGGGGGTGGTTTTCTCCCTGGAAGCTCGTCAGGTCTGTGTCTCCGGGGTTGCCCGGTGCAGCTTGAAGGGTTCGTGTCAGCGCAGAACTTTGGCTTTGATGGCCAGCATCCCAATTTCAGCCACGTGGAATGCACATGCGGCAGGTGCTACGTTTACGGACTAAAATTGTGCCACCTTTGAATCAGTGTCAGCCGCCTTCGGCAACCCCGTGCCTGAGCTTTAGCCACATGGTAGTACCTCAAGCGGGTTGGTACAGAGATGAGTCGAGAACCGTTGGTGTCACGGGGTCGGCTTAAGGCTATGTCTGGATGAAGACATCTCACGATATCAAAGTGATGGGCCTCGCGAATGCTATATGCCGCGGAGGTTGCCAGTTTCCAGGGTACATTCAAAGATGGGGGACCCCGAACAATGGTGACTTCCTTTCGATTCTGCGACGCCTCCGCTTTTGCGGATCGAACGCACAAGTTTTCAAGTATCGCAGGCTGCCGGATGGCGTTCAGCGCTCAGATGGGAAACGCCTCTAAGGATGTCTTTCTGGGTTCCTCGTCAATCTGCCGGTGAACGCGGGCGTTTCCTGATTCCGGAAGCTGCAAAAAGCAGTTGTTTATAGGAAGACAGATGCCCCCTGATCCTGGCAGTTGACCCAAGCATGAAGCAGTACCCCTGCACCGTGTTAAGGCGAATTCCTTTTCTGGAAGATGCAGCCAGGTCCACCAGCTTTTGGGAGGGAAAGAAAAGGTCTTGGCGGTTTGGATTGGTGGCTTGGGCATATGAACCCCCAACCCGGGTGCGTGCCTTTTTCGAGGGTACCCCTTCTTGGGTTGGGTTAGTCTCCCACCAATCCGTCTGGAAAAGTCGCTTTCCAAAAGGAACATGGTCTTCCAGGTGGTACCACCCAAGCGACAAAAAAGGGACCAATCATGGAAACAACAAACATAACAAGTCAAAACAAGAAAATCCAACAGCCAACACCGACCCCCCTGAGCGTCAGGTTCCGTGTTG